CAGAGAGAGAGGAGGAAGCAGGCTCCCTGCTGAGCAGAGAGCCCGATGTGGGACTCGATCCCAGGACCCTGAGATCATGACCTGAACTGAAGGCAGAGGCTTAACCCACTGAGCCACCCAGGCACCCCTGTTACCTTCATTTTTGTAGGATAATTATGTTGTTTGTAACATTTTGGCTGACAGGTTTTTTCTTTTATGGTTTAAAACATACAGTTCTCTTGTTTTGTGCGCTCCTGTTTCTGATGAGAAGTCAGCTGGTATTTGTGTCAGTGTTCTCCTATATACATATTACAATGTATCTTTTGTCTGGACCAATTTTTTTTTTTTTAAAGATTTTATTTATTTATTTGACAGAGAGAAATCACAAGTAAGCAGAGAGGCAGGCAGAGAGAGAGGAGGAAGCAGGCTCCCCGCTGAGCAGAAAGCCCGACGTGGGGCTCGAACCCAGGACCTGGGATCATGACCTGAGCTGAAGGCAGCGGCTTAACCCACTGAGCCACCCAGGCGCCCCTGTCTGGACCAATTTTGAGTTTATTTTCTTTACCTTTGAATTTTGAATTCTTTACCTTTGAATTTGACTATTATGTGCCTGTGTGGTTTTCTATTGTGTTTATCCTACCCTTAGTTCACTGAACTTCTTAGTTGTGTAAGTTTATGTTTTCATCCAATTTGGGGAAATTTTGACCATTATTTTTTTTTAATCCTTCTTCTATCTCATTATCCTATTCTTCTAGTACTCCAATTAATTATATGTTCTATTGCTTGTTATTGTCCCACAAGTCACTGAGGATTTGTTCACTTTCTTTAATATTCTTTTTCCCCCTGTTTTTCAAATTGGATAATTTCTATTGAGCTCTCTTCAAAATTGCTGACTCCTATGTGGTCTCCAAAATGCTGTTAAGATTATGTGATTTTTTTCAGTTATTGTACTTTTCAGTTCTAAAATTTCCATTTGGTTCTTTTTTATAGTTTTAGTTTCTATGTTGAGATTCCTTATCTGTTCATTTATATGACACTATTTTCCTTTAGTTTCTTGAACATGTCTCTACTAGCTGCTTATTGCTTTTGTTCACTAATTCCATCTTGAGCTCAGTAACCTTTTTTTCTTTCCTATGGGTCACATTTTTATTTATATTTCTACTAATTTCTTATTACATAGTGGACATAGTGAATGATGCATTGTAGAGGTTCTGGATTCTGTGTGTTCCTCTGAAGAGTGTTGACTTGTGTTCTCCTAGGATGAATTGTAATTGAATTGTAGTCCAAACTCTGTCTTCTTTGAGGTAGACAGCAGCACACATCTCTTTCAGCTTCTGGTTGCTATTGTCAGACCTCCAGGAGTCAGTGATCAGCCAAGAATTTGGTCACGGCTTATACTCATTTTGAGGTTTAATTATGACTTCTTTCTAGGATTTCCTTTTATAGCTGCTCTGCCAGCCCTAATCTTTGTTCTCTGAATCCAAAATCAGTAAACTGTGGGATTTTGCCCTCCCTTGGTATGTGGACAAAGAAGTCCTCTCAGGCATAAAGCCACAGACTTGCAAATCTTGCTTGGCCCTGTTCCTGTCTTTTTAGGGGTGACTTCTCTCCAGTACCTTTCAAGGAACTTTCGAGTAGTTTCTTCTTATTTTTCACCCTGTTTATAATTGTTATCTCAAAGAGGGTTAGTTCGACCAAACTACTCCATTATTAATGGAAGCCAGAACTTCCCTTCCATTTTAACCACATTTTTGAACTTATTTCTTCAACGTATGTAGCTATATTTATAGAATAGATTTAGCTAATATTTATCCCCCTCCCTCAAAAAAATATGTCAATAATGCTAGTAGAATTTCATTTTTCTTCTTGCTCTCAGTAGACCATATTTCTTTCTTTCTAATTTTTTTAAAGATTTTATTTATTTATTTGAGAGAGAGAGAGAGAGAGAGAGAGCACAAGTAGGTGAAAAGGTCAAGGGAGAGAAGAATATCCAAGCAGACTCCTGAGTGGGGAGCCCCATGCAGGGCTCGATCTCAGGACCCATGCAATCAGGACCTGAGCCGAAACCAAGAGTTGGATGCCTATCAGATTGAGCCACCCAGGCACCCAAGTAAACCATATTTCAAGTTGAGAATTCTTTTAGAATTTTATTTTATTTTGGATTATTTATTTATTTGACAGAGAGAGAAACAGAGAGGGAACACAAAGCAGGGGGAGTGGGAGAGGGAGAAGCAGACTTCTAGCTGAGCAGGGACCCCCATGTGGGGCTCGATCCCAGGACCCATGGGATGATGACCCAAGCTGAAGGCAGACATCCAAGGACTGAGCCACCCAGGTGCCCCTTTTCTGGAGTTTAAGTTCCAGGTCTTGGGCCTTTATTTTTGAATGCCAGTTAATCAAGGGATAGTACTGTGTATCCAAAATAATTTTCACTTGGAAATTTGAAAAGGAACCTGAAGGAGTCTCTGAACCACCACCATTTATTTTGGCTTGTGACAAAACTCTCCAATTTGTCTTGCTTAGGATCCTGTAATCTTAATAATTGCATAAAATTGTTTTCAGGATTAAAAGAGAAGCATAAACAAAACCGCATCACATAGCATAGAATATATATTCTGTAAGTGCTAGTTACCACTCTCTTCACAATGATGATTGTCTTCGTGGAAATACGTATCCAAAGTCAGTGCCCAGCCCATTTGGTTTTAAGCAAATAGCACATGCTTAAATCCATATGTATGTGTGTGTGTGTGTGTGTGTGTGTATAATTTCTTAAATTTCACAAACAGTAAAATATTTTTTAAAAAAGATTTTATTTATGAGGGACAGCATGAACAAGGGAGAGGGTCAGAGGGAGGAGGAGAAGCAGACTCCCCGCTAAGCAGGGAGCGGGACTGTGGGACCTGAACTGAAGGCAGACGCTTCACTGACTGAGCTACCCAGTTACCTGTAAAATGTTTCTTGATGTAGTATTCCAAGAGTTCTTAAGCATGAAATCTAAGGCCTTGTCCATAAAAGAAAAAATTGGATTTTATTAAAATTGAAGTCTTTTGCTCTGCGCAAGACACTGTCAAGACCACCCAGCTGATCTCAGGAGGTTTTAAACAGAGGTGTGGGAGAGCAGTGGCTAAAAGGAGATATGCTTGTGTTGGGAGGATTGATTTTGGTCTTGGAAGAACCATTCTGCCTAGTATTTATCATGTGGTGGAAACTACTCAAATTGAAATTATGCAGATTTGGTTTTGAAATCCGGCCCTGGCTCAATGTAACTCTGTAGCCATGGCCAGTTTGGAACAACGTGGTGTACTAATAAATTCTGTGTATTTGTAAACCAAGGATGACTCTGTCTTTCTTGTTTGCCCTACTGGGCTCTTTCCTGAGGATCAGATGAGACCATGTATGTTAAAGAATATAACACTAATACAAGGTGAGAGAGGGACTATTACAGTATTTCCACCTGCTTCTCTATACTGAGATGATCCTGTAACATTGTGTGAGAGAAAGATTTAAACAGTATGACCTCCTGTGTATTTATATAGCAAATAAAAAAGACATTTTATTGTTATAATTATGTGACGAGTAAACTCGAAGACTGAAAACCCAAGAGCCAATGAAGGGGTGAGTTTTGTACACCATCATGGGATAATAGAAGGGGGTGGGGTTTCTAATAGGATGGACACGGGAGTGGGGTCAGAGAAGGTCCCACAGTATTGTTCAAGCTCCTCTGCATTTCTCTTTGTGTCTGCCCTGGAGGACCCCACCGCTTTGATGAATGTGGAGTGATTTAGAACACGTCCACTTTAGTGTGTAGAGAGAAAGCAAGCTCAGGCCGACCCTGCAGCTGGCTGATGGGAAAAGAAGTGCATCTCCAGGCTGTATTCTTGACCATGCAGAATTTATTGAGAAAGAAAAGAGTGTTGAGAGATGGGGTAAGGGAAGAAAGATGACAAAGAAGAATGGGCATGGATAGGAGAGGGAAGGTGAGGTATTTGAACATCCTGACACTCAGGCAGAGGCAGAAATGATTAGTTATTGGCTGGGAAAGAAACGAAATATAAATCGAGCCCTGTACGATGATGGAGAATTTTTGCTGCCTGAGTCAGGGCAGGAAGCGAGGGCACAGGCTTCTAGAGCTTGTTGCAAAAAGATTGGTTCCGACAGCATATAATTTGCATCCTGGTTCCATGGGAGAAGAGGTTCATAGACGGGCACATGTTCTCACACCCCTGAACCATGAACTGGAGTTTTCCACCTGAAAGAAGCAGAAACAGACAGTAGTGAGCAGCAGGCTTCCTCCTCTGACCTTTGCCTTCATCCGTGGTCCCCAGTGTCTCCATGAAGGCATGACCAAGACCTCCAGCTTGTGTATTCTTCCTCCCCCACTCCTTCTGCCTGTCTTTTCTGTGCCCTTCCCCACATCTGCTGCCCCCAGCCTCTACTGAGGGGCTAGACAAACCACAAGGGAAGTCAGACAGTGTGGTTCACAGGATGGCAGTAACCAAGATCCTTTATTCGGGGATGAGGAGTGAGTATAATAAGGGTAGAGGGTATGGGAATAAAGCAGAACAGGTCTGGCAACCTATGAACACTGACTGATAGACAATTGTTTATTCATTTATTCAGTATTTGCTAAATGTCTACCATGTACTAAATATTGTGCTAAGTGCTAGGAACATATAGCCATGAACAAGACAGACACGGTCCTGAGCTTATGGTCAATGTCTCAACATCTCAAGGTGCAACTCTTCCATTTCTTTTGTAGGAAGAGACCACCAGTCTCCCTGTCTCCTTTTAAGACAACATGGGCCTGTTGGGAAGGGCCCTTCCCTCCCCATCAGCAGCTAGAATTGTGCTCTTAATTCAGGATAAGGTTCTCCTGAGTCTTCAAGTTTCTGGGGAAGCACAGCTTGACCCCTCCTCTGGCTCCCGCCATCCCAGCTGCTCTCAAGAGTACTCAGTTGATGTGTTTCTCTGGCAGAGACTGTGTTATGAAGTCCCCACGTACCTTCAAAGATCTTCTTTAACATGCACTGCTGGGAATTCTGAGTGGAGCAGACACCCTCTCCACGAAGACATTTTCCTTGATCATTCATATATGAACATGTGTGGCAATTTAATATTGGGCCTGCAAATTTAAGATAAGCCTGATGAAATTTCCCGATGGACCAGGCGTAGAGCCATGAGTCCCAGGGAGAGGGATGGTGGGCAGTAAGTAGCCTGGATACTACATATCTTTTTATGGTTCTTGTTGGCATTTGAGGGTCCTGCATCTGATAGAGCGTAGTTTCTCCTCTAGACCAGAGGAAATTCCTTCATTCTTACTACTTTGTCTATAAATTTCATTGTTGAAGAATCCCAGATTTCTCTCTACAATACTGGTGTTTACTCCAATTCATATCTCCACTGGCTCTGCCATGTATAACTCCATAGGAGCAAAGTAGACCTTTAATCACATGATTGGCTCCCCTTTTTACTCTCCCATCATACTGTCACCCACAAGGCACACTTAGAGTAAGAACTGACTGATTAATAAGCTATGTTAGAGGGCCTGGGTGTTATGAGCCTGGGTGGCTCAGTTGGTTGAGCGGCTGCCCCTGGCTCAGGTCATGATCCCAGGGTTCTGGGATCGAGCCCCCCATAGGGCTCCCTGCTTAGCGGACAGCCTGATTCTCCCTCTCCCTCTGCCTGCCGCTCTGCCTACTTATACTCTATCTCTTTGTCAAATAAATGAATAGAATCTTAAAAAAAAAGGCTATATTAGAATGCTCTAATATTGCAAATTCTGTAAAGAGTGATCATTCTCCATTTTCAAGTTGACCTTCAACAATGTCAATTTGTCAGGGTGCCTCAGTGGCTCAGTAGGTTGAGCGTCTACCTTTGGCCCAGGTCATGATCCCAGAGTCCTGGGATCGAGCCCCGCATCAGGCTCTCTGCTCTGTGTGTAGCCTGCTTCTCCCTCTCCCAACCCCCACTTGTGTTCCCTTTCTTCCTGTCTCTCTGTCAAATAAATAAATAAAATCTTTATTAGAAACAGAACAACAATGTCAATTTGTCACAAAGGGCATTCTTTTTGAAATGCTTCCATTTGCCTCTTTTACTATGTCCATTGCCAGTTCCCTACTTAAGGAAGGATAAAGAAATAGGTAAGATGTGGGCTTTGGAGTCAGACCAACTTAACTTTGAATCCAAGGATTGCTACTTTCTAGCTATGTGATGTTAGCCCCACTTCTCTCATCTGAAGTTGTGCGATGGAAGGAACTATGAAGTGCTTATGTCTGGTAATATCTTGAGGGGTCAAACTCTGGATCTTGCTTTCCTTTCTTGAACAACCTTTTTTTTTTTTTTAAGATTTTATTTATTTTATTTGACAGACAGAGATCACAAGCAGGCAGAGGCAGGCAGAGAGGAAGGAAGGGAAAGCAGGCCCCCTGCCAAGCAGAGAGCCCAACGTGGGGCTTGATCCAGGACCCTGGGATCACAACCTGAGCCGAAGGCAGAGCCTTAACCCACTGAGCCACCCAGGCGCCCCTGAACAACCTCTTTTTAGTAAGAGCCAAAGAATTGCAGTTGTGGTGGGAACCTTTTTACGAATCTAACAGATTAAGAGTGTGTGTTCATGCTTTATTTTCTTTGTTCAAATAAAATTGGAGCCACCAGCTCCAGGGCTAGTCATCTCTTCCCAGAGTTTTTGAGGCATTCTAACATAGTTTGTTGAGGCAGATTAACGTGAAGCTCATGAAAGTGAGTGTCCCATGAACCCCTTCCAAGGGAGCAGTGGGCATTTGTATTCAAAATTTCTTATGTAGGGTGAAGTTGGAGGGACTGTTGGCATTTTGTATTTGTGTCATTTAATATTTTTAAAGGGCCCTCAAAATTGTTTCGCTTTCAGGGCTCCACAAAACCTATATCCTGCCTCCTGGTATTATTGTAAAGAGATGTAACGAGTGTTTTTGAGAGAGCCATCTGTGAAGTGTTTGTGAGCTAGTCTTCTATATGCTCTCCGTAAAGTTGGGTGTCTTGATGTGTTGCCTGTTTTTCTCCCGAAGTCAAGGACAAGAACCCATCCAGATATACTTCACCCAAAAATGTGCCTCACCTGAAAATGTGCTTGATGGTGGAATGCCTGAAGGCTGGTCACCCAGTGGCTTTTCACCTGAAACTTGCTCACTTGAAGCCTGCTCACCTGAAGGTTGTTCACTTGAAGCCTGTTCACCAGAAGGCTTCTCACTGGAAGCTTGTTCACCTGAAGGCTTTTCAGTTGAAACCTGTTCACCTGAAGCCAGTTCACCTGAAGGTTTTTCGCCAGAAGGCTGTTCACTGGAAGGCTTTTCACCTGAAGACTGTTCGCCAGAAGGCTGTTCAACTGAAGGCTTTTCACCTGAAGACTGTTCAACTGAAGGTTCACCAGAGGTGTGCTCTCCTGAAGCACGTTCACCTGAAGTGTGTTCACCTGTAGCGTGTTCTCCTGAAGTGTGTTCACTCGAAGTGTGCTCACTGGAAGCATGTTCAGCTGAAGTGTGCTCACCTGAAGAATGCTCACTTAAAGTGCTCTCGCCTGCAGAAGTCTCATATAAAGCCTCACCATCTGAAGGGTTTCCAAGTGAAATGTACTCACCTGAGAATTGCTGAACTGAAGCTTGATGATCCATAGAGCCAGGAGGCTCATCAGGCTGACCTGATGCTCCTGGGGTGGAGAAGAAACAGAAGAGAGATAGTGAAGGCGAGAGAAAGAATGGGATAAGGATTGCTTTGCTTATGCAATAAGGCTAAAGTGGGATTCCTGGGTTTCCTATAGGCCTGGTCAGGGATCTGAAGATATTGCAGATTTTGGAGGAAATCAACTAATTACTCGAAAAGACTGTGAAGGACAGAGGCGTTAATGAAACATGCAGAGACTGCCTCTGGCACATAAAGGAAGAATTTTAAGATCTACGTTATTTTTTTCTTAAGATTTTATTTATTTGTCAGATTGAGAGAGAGAGAGAATGAAAGCACCCAAGCAGGGAGAGCAGCAGGCAGAGGGAGAAGCAGGCTCTCCGCTGAGCAGGGAAGGGACTCAGTCCCGGCATCCCAGGATCATGACATGAGCCAAAGACAGACACTTAACCGACTGAGCCACCCAGGCATCCCTGAGATCCACATTATTAATAAATGTACAGGGGGGTCCCCTAGCCCATGAACCAAAGGCACCCAAAGGGAAAATCGTGTGCCTCCCTGACAAAGACAGCATCAGGAAATCAATGTGCCATCAATCACATTATCAGAAGTCTACCACCAGCCCTCCCTCCAGTTTCTCTTTGGGTGAAAGGCAGGAAGGTTGAAAATACAAAAGGGAAAGAGAAAGCAACTCGGTTCAATAGCTAAGTAATTCTAGCTGAAATTGAAGATAGAAGATTTTACCCTTTGGACAGGATAAATTTTAAACCAGAGATGACAAATATCTAATGAACTCACAAAAATGACCAGATAGGATTTAAGACATTTTTATTTGGCAAATTCAAGTTCTTTCTTACACTCAGTCCCTAATCCATGCAGGTTGGAGACTCAAAGATGGGATCAGTTTTTAAGATAAAAAACATTATTTGCTTATTTATTTCTGAATTGAGATTCCTTGTGATGTACCATTTATACCCACTTCATGTAGTTGCGTGGGTTTTCAGTAAGATAAACTGTGAAGTGCCCAGTTCATTGCTTAAGTGTTCAATTAATTTAATTTTTCTCTCCTCCCCACTTTACACTAGGACTTTAAAAAAAAAAAAAAAAAAACCTCTTAGCTGGTCATTCTCTTTTGGCCAGTCCCTTCTACTTTTAATCTATCTCACCAATGACTATTAGACAAATATTCTTTAGGTAGTACTTTTAATTTTATTGAATGTAGCACCAAAGTATTTGATTACTGTGTGCTTAGACTGAGTAATTCAGAGGAGGGTGGGTGGACTATAAAAGGACTGATTTATTAATCCTAGCCAAAATCTGAGAGGAATGACAAGAATTCTTGAGTACGAGGTAGCCTAGGGCTCCAAATTACCCTTATCTCTGTAAGAGTCCTACAATAGATTCATGTGTTCTGGATGATTCACAGTCCTTATAACCTACGACTTTCTGAAAGACTGGGATTAGAATATGTTGATAAAGGAAAGGTAAGATTTGGAAAGGCTTTGGGGAGGTTTTTATTTTTAAAAGTTGTTATTGAATATTATCTGCTTGGCTGTTTAACAGTTAACAGGAGTTTTAATAAAGAAATTTCTGATGTAGAAAGGAGGCTTGAAAAAACACGCTCATTTCTTAGTCATTCTCAAAGTTGATGAGTCACTGCTTTGCCATGTGGCTGGCATATACTACCATCTGGTAGCTATATGTATCTATATTTCTGAATCAACTTTGAAAGTCTAAGAGAGCAAAAAACAAAATCTCAGACAACCAACATTATGGAAAACACTTTGTCATTTAGCCAACAGTTCAGATCTCATGGCCTCTCTTTTCTCCTGTAGGAAAAATGAGAGAACACAACCTATGAATGAGGACCCTGAAAGAGGAAATACAGACAACTGGATGGATAGAACATGGCCATGACAGAGAGGCTTGTAAGGTCTCTGGCCCATAGCCCTGCTGTGTTCTGAGACGGCTTTCTGGGTATATCACATCCCATCTCCTTACATCTTTCCTTGCTACATTAACTACACAAGGATCCCTTGCACTCCGTTCATTGGGACAAACATTCATTGTACTTTCACAGAACCCTTAGACCTGTTTTCTCATCTCACAGAGCATCAGGTACAAAAGATGAGTGATTGAAAGAAGTAGTAGGAATGAGACTGTGCCCAACCAGTGGGCTTCTCTGATGGCAAAGCCATTACTAGGAGGAATCATCTAGGAGGCTTGGGAGCTCTCAGAGTTGAACTGGTTTAGCTATTCTTGATTCTGAGTCAGATTGATTTAGATAACTAATATTCTGGTCTTCCTTCTTCAAGGGCTAAAAGATGTGAAAGAAGTTTCCCAGAGCCAAGATAGGGGACTCACCTCTGGCACATCCAATCAGATAAAGACTCATTAGTAAGAGAAACTTCTTCATCTGGATTTTGGGAAAGAGGAGATTCTGGCGTAGAGCACCCAAGGGTTGTGAAGGAAAACTGTGAGCAGAAGCTCCCAATGCTAAGTTACAGCTCCTGGGAATTCTAGAACCTCAGAGACCACCCATGTGCCTCACAATGGGTTGAGCTCTGAGGTTCTCATGCAGGCTGTTCAGGCAGGATGGCTTTCTAACAACTCAGGGCAAATGATGCCAGTGAAGGCTAATTTGCCATGTATAACATGGGGTATTGGGGCTCTTTGCCCTATCTTAAAAAAAAATCTATTACCAAAATAACATTCTTTTTGTAATAAATTTTTAAAGCTATTCTCTTTTTGAAATGTTTTTGACAGTGAGCTGTGATTGCCTGGTTATTTTGTGTTTGGCTCTTTTTATCAGCACACCCCCCCCCGCCCCCCGGTTTGTTTGGTTTGGTTTTGGTTTTGTTGTTCTTTGTTTTTTGTTTTTGTTTTTTTGTTTTTTTTTAAAGATTTTATTTATTTGACAGAGAGAGAGATCACAAGTAGGCAGAGAGTCGGGCAGAGAGAGAGGGGGAAGCAGTCTCTCTGCTCAGCAGGGATGCTGAGGCAGATGTGGGGCTCGATCCCAGGACCCTGAGATCATGACCTGAGCTGAAGGCAGCGGCTTAATCCACTGAGCCACCCGGGCGCCTCTTTTTTTTTTTTGGGGGGCCTATAAACTAGTCTCTCTTGACCTGATCACCTGAAAGCTGGTTGTGTTTGGCTTCAGACTGGATTTAGCCAGTGGAAGATTAGAGGGGGAAACACACACACACAGATTGAGATCAAAATACTTATTCTAGGGCACCTGGGTGGCTCAGTGGGTTGAAGCCTCTGCCTTCGGCTCAGGTCATGATCCCAGAGTCCTGGGATCGAGCCCCACGTCGGGCTCTCTGTTCGGCGGGGAGCCTGCTTCCTCCTCTCTCTCTCTGCCTGCCTCTCTGCCTACTTGTGATCTCTGTCTGTCAAATAAATAAAATCTTTATAAAAAAAAAATACTTATTCTATATTTATTCTTCTTCCTTTCCTGCCATGGTTTTGATACCGGTTGGGTCTTGACATGACAAAGCTGCTCTTGGGTGTCCTATCTTTTATGGCTCCTGCTCTCAACCAGGATATGGTAACATATTGGTTTTGACAGGAAACAAGTGGCAAATACATGGTATGGGCCCAGAAAAGGGATCAACAAGGAGTTGTTGAAAGCTGTGCCTTGAGTTATAATTTCTCTCAAGGGGGTAGACTGTGGATGCAGCGAGGCATCTACCTGGTGGAAAGCTAGAACTGTTGGGGGTTGGGTGGCAGAGAGCTCTTGGCCCTCACCTCCTACTTCTTCCCTGCCCACCTCCACTGGATCACTTCGTTATATGTAGTACTGAATGCTGGATCCGGTACAGATGCATTTATCACTCTTACAATTATGGGTTTAATATTTATCTCTTCCATTGGTCTCTAAGCTCCTTGAAAGCTGGATCCCTCCCTGTCTGTCTTTTTTTCTTTTCCCCTGTCTGTCTTGATCGCTAAAGTACCCTCACTACCTAGTAGCAGTTTTGCCACATAATACATACTTAACAAGTGCTTTGTGAATGGAGGAATGGATGAGTTGCCTTTTTGGACCCCTCTCTGCCTCACAGAGGAAAGTTTATAGAAAGCTCTAAGACTGGTATGACCAAAGACTGGGTTAGCTGGAAAAAGTGGGATCAGCAGGGGTCAAAAGTGGCAGAGGGAGGCCTACCCTACTTGGCTTGTGTAGGAGGACAAAACTAGGATTTGTGGGTTTGAGGCTGGGTTGCTGGGGAGTGGAGAAATGCATGAAGGAGCAAGTTGTTGATAATTTTTTCTCCATGTGGAGAGTCTGGAGAAACAGCTGGGGATCATACTGAGTCAGACTTTTGTTGATAGAAGCAGTGGAAATTCATGGAAAGGGAGAGGCACTATGTTTAACACCCACCAGTTGTCTAAAGTTTGGCAGCACGCTTTTATGCAGTTCTCAGAACTTTCTGGAATATTGCTGCCTCATTCCTACCTAGGAGTCACAGTATTGAAAGTTAGGACCTAAAGCCTGAATGGTCTTTGTTGGGGTCCGCTATCAAAGGAACGAAACTGAGACAAAGTGAAAGTTATGCAAAGCTTTATTCTATGCCAAGCATTAGAAGTCAGACTGACTGGCCAGGGCTGCCTCCGAAGAGAGCGACCCCCACCCGATCTCACAGGCTGGTTTTATAGGACATAACTGCAGACCCAAGGTATGTGGCTTCTATTGTTAAGGCATTTACTCCAGAATTGATACCCGGAACCATACCAGGAACTACTGGGGCATTTATTCCCAGAATGAAGTCCGTGGATGTAAACAACAATATGGCTACCTAGGCAATACGGAGTTGCTCTGGCTAAGCAGGCCCTAATAGTTAAACAGGTTTTAAGATTAAATTGGCCCCAACAGTCTTCCCTTAAACCTCAGCCTCCAACTTTTTCCTCCCTCTTTTTCTTAAAGTTAGCATTATGGGACTGTATCCTAATCCCACCCAGGCTGGCTTTCCTTAAGCTCTGTCTTGGAAACTTTCTCCCTGTGTCCCGTGGTCTGGCACTTTGGAGTCAAACCTGTGAGGATCTGAGCACACTGTATAAAAAAACATGGAGTGGGATGCCTGGGTGGCTTAGTTAGTTGGGCAGCTGCCTTCTGCTTGGGTCATGATCCTGGCGTCCTGGGATCGGGTCCCACATAGGGCTCCTTGCTGGGCGGGGAGCCTGCTTCTCCCTCTGCCTCTGCCTGCCATTCTGTCTGCCTGTGCTCGCTCTCTCTCCCTCTCTCTCTCTGACAAATAAATAAAAATAAAATCTTAAAAAAAAAAAAAAAATGGAGTAATGGAGAATTTGCCGTGGGACCAGAAGTGTTCGGGAGCTAAGATGTCCAGAGGCGTTCCAGTCCCTGTGTCCTTCCTCTGCCCATCTCTGCCATCCCAGATGAGGGAAAGCTCCAGTTTCTAATGGCCTGAAGCGAAGTGAAGAACCCAGTAGGTCAGCCCTGGTAAAAAAAAAAAAAAAAAAAAAATGCAACCTGGTTTAAAAAGATGAGCTGAGCCAAATGGTCTTCTTCCAAGGGCTCACCTGTAGTGGGAACACAGAAAGAGAGGCAAGTAGGCTCCCTAGGAATAGTCTTATGTATGGAGAGGTGAGAACCTCTCACTTGACCTGCTTTTTTGAGTGGTGGTGACTTAACCCGTGATGTGCTGGGAGCTGTCTTGAACTGACTGATGAGAGCTGATGGGTCAAGTTTCAGGAATTCCATAAGCTGATTGTTGAACACAGATATTATTAAAATTAACGTATAAAAGACATTATGTTAGAAACAAAGGTAAGAGGCCTTGCAGATGCCGCCGGTCCGGAGCCTCCCGCGCCGCCCAGCCATGGTCAACCCCACCGTGTTCTTCGACATCGCCGTGGACGGTGAGCCCTTGGGCCGCGTCTCCTTCGAGCTGTTCGTAGACAAGGTGCCGAAGACGGCAGAGAACTTCCGTGCTCTGAGCACCGGGGAGAAAGGATTCGGTTACAAAGGTTCCTGCTTCCACAGGATCATCCCCGGATTTATGTGCCAGGGTGGGGACTTCACACACCATAATGGCACTGGTGGCAAGTCCATCTACGGGGAGAAGTTTGATGATGAGAACTTCATCCTGAAGCACACAGGTCCTGGCATCCTGTCCATGGCCAACGCTGGACCCAACACGAACGGCTCCCAGTTCTTCATCTGCACTGCCAAGACCAAGTGGTTGGATGGCAAGCACGTGGTCTTTGGCAGGGTCAAAGAGGGCATGAACATCGTGGAGGCCATGGAGCGCTTCAGGTCCAGGAACGGCAAGACCAGCAAGAAGATCACCATTGCTGACTGTGGACAGATCTGATCAGTGTGACTCGTGTTTTATCTTAACTACCCGACCATTCCTTCTGTAGCTCGGGAGAGCGTCCCTCCACCCCTGCCTGCTCGAACTACCCCAGAATCTCCGCTCGCTGCAGTTCTGCGGGTTCCATGGTTCCTTACCCCCAGGCCTAGCTGGATCTCAGAGTTCGGTTTATGATGAAATAAAACCTAAACCACACACACAAAAAAAAAAAAAGAAAAAGAAAAAGAAAAAAAAGAAACAAAGGTAAGAAATACTCGTCACTTCTTAATTATTTAATGATATTTTACTATTTATTATCTGTGCTCATAAGGTTATTTGGCACTGTTGTATCTGTAGGCTGGAAATACTCTATAATGGTGGCCACATCTCAACTTCTTATTCGGTGACATCAGGATGGTAGCTGCAAATTGCCGTTTACACTGTGGAAGTCTGCAAATTCTTTCCTTCCAGCCTCACCCCCACAAGCCAGTTTTAAGTGTTTACCAGCACACCAGGGTGCTAAACCCAGACGGAAGTTCTCTGCCGTCTTCGGCACCTTGTCTGCGAACAGCTCGAAGGGGAACCTGGGGAAGGTGGCCAGCTTGTCAGGACACTGAGACCTTCCATGCTTCTTCAGCACTGGATCTTATCTGACTGGACGACTGATCAAACTAAGAGCCAGGAATTATGCCGTGATTGAAGCCAGATAAGGAATGATCGTTTACACTAATGGTTGCATCCAATCTTTAATTTGAATATAGCAAGGCCTCCTGGATCCTACTGTATTTTTTAGCATGTGAAAATCCTTTTGGTACTTCCCTTATCTTTACTTCCCCCCCCACCCCAAAGTCTAGAATCACTAGCCCCTCACAATCCTGAGCAGCAGGGAGCAGCAAGGAGCTGAGGACAGCAGCAACTCTTTTCTGCCCATGAGTCCTGCCCCTGTGCTTTAATAAAACTGCCTTCTTGCGGTTTTATTAAATAAATAAATAAATAACCAGTGGTTATTTACGCTTTTATATTTTTTAAGATTTTCTCCTTTTTTATTTGAGAGAGAGAGAGTGAGAGAGCATGAGTGGGGGGAGGGGGAGAGGAAGAGGGAGAA